GGACTTCTTCTCTTCCTCCTGGAGGCAGAACACATACTTTATTTCACATTCCTGTTGACAAGCCACATGGAGTCACACTGTTGGCAGCCAGAGCCCTGAAGATGCTTCCTCCTCCACTGGATCCACAAGACTTTCCACTTGCAGGCCTGTGATCTTCCTGCCTTCAGGATCATTGCATGTGCTGCGTGAGTTGGAGAGGAATTTATGGGCTAGTGTCAGACATATAGGCTAATACCAGACTTATGGACTTGATCTGGACTGGGCTGAGATGTTTTCTCAATATACGATTGCTCTTGTATATAAAGCTCTTTCTTATACACACATGAATGTCCCTGGATTTGTTTCTCTAGTCAACCCGGCCTAACACACTTAATGGGATTTCTGTGAAGATTAAATAGAAGAGCAGGTAGTGCTTACATTTTAAAAATCTTGTTGTTAGATGCCATCAAATTGGTCCTGACCTGTACAGCAGAATGAAACTCTGCCCTAAGCGGTACCATCCTCACATAATAGGCCTGTTATGCTTGGGCTCATTGTTGCAGCCACGATGTCAATCCATCTTTTGAAGCTCTTTTCCACTAACCTTCCACTTGACCAAACATGGTGTCCTTTTCCAGGGACTGTGTCTCTTGATAACATGTCCAAAGTGCATGTGTCCAAAGTTTCCCCATTCTTGCATCTCAGGAGCATTCTGGCTGCCCTTCTTCCAGTTTTTTGCATAAAACTGAGCCAAACCCATTGCCTTCAAGTCGGTAATAGCGACTCTGTATAGGGTTTCAGAGGCTGTAATTGTTTACATAAACAGGTAGGTTTGAAACACTGACCTTTTGGTTAGCAATTCAATTCCTACCCAACAGTTCCACCGAGCTCCATGTAAGTCAGTGAAAACTCAGTGCCCTGGAGTCGATGCTGACTCTGAGTGACCCGGAGGACAGGGTAGTAGAACTGCTCCCTGAGTTTCCGGGACTGTCACTCTATGGGAGTAGAAAGCCCTGTCTTTCTGCTTTGGAGTGGCTGCTAGTTTAGAACTGTTGACCTTGTGGTTAGCAGTCCAGCGCATAACCACTATGCCACCCGGGCTCCTTTTCATTTTTATGTACAGTGAAGCATTTCCCAATTTCGGGGATACTATATTATTTGATGATCCAAAGCACAGGTTGCCAAATTATTTGGCTTACTACCCCCTTTTCAGGAAAAAAAATTACTCAGCACTCCCGTCAATTAAAAATGTTTGCACTGTAGCTCATAATCCAGGATAAAGTGAAGCATCTGTTTTTTAAAGTGATGCTCCCCTCCCCTCCCAAAAAAATCATTTCAACATCCACTAGGGGGCAGTATCTCCACTTTGGGAAACACTCGGCTAAAGTCACATACCTGTTTCATGCTGCAAGTTATATGCTAATTCTTCTGCCCCATTAGATAGCATTACTCTTAAAACCCAAACCCGACCCACTGCCATCACGTTCGTTCTGAGTCATCTCTACCCTATCTAAAGGTTCCAAGGCTAGACATTTTGTAGGAACCTATAGCCTTGTATTCCAGCCACAGCATCTGTTGGGGTTGAACCACCAACCTGTCAGTTAGCAAGGCAACATTAGCGCCACTATGATATAATTCAGCATTTTATGTTTGTGGTTAAGCATTTTCATCTTAATATCATTTTTTAATGCCTAGATCATTCCATATTTCAATCATGTCAAGTACAATATATAATTGCTACCACAGTTTCCAAACATTTTTTCTACATGGACTCATTGACATTATCTCCTGTTTACCCCTCCCCTCTGCGCACCCCTACTTTCATCAATCCTGGGAAAAGCCTATATAACCGAGTATCAAGAGGATGATGTCCATTAGCATTACACGTCTGAGACACACTCTACTATGAGCAAGCACAAGCCTAACAAAATAATACAAACCAAAATACAGAACATTTTGGAAAGCAGATGAGGTCCAACCTGCATCATAGGGAGGAATCTACTCAAAGTTTTAACTGTTCAGGTTAAATTTATGCCTTTGATCTTCTATACTCCTCTCTCCCAAGCACTCTGTTTAGTGACCAGTTTCCTCCCCTCGCTTTTAGACGGGGGAAGTTTTCTGGAGACTTATTTCCTCGGTAGTTCCATAAATGAGTCTTGGCCTCCCGCCATCATCCATTGCGTTCTGCACACCGGATTCTCAACCATTTATGCTCTGACGCTGATCCCTCCTTCAACTTCAGATTGTATGGACTCTAGTCCTTTGGTGACTGATGAGGTGTGCTTCTTCCCTGTGGACTTAGTTGACGTCTCACTTAGTTGGCTGCTGCTTTGGAAACAATCCTTTAAGACCCCCGGCACTATTTTATCTGATATCCGGGCACCATCTAAACTCTTTGCCACAGTTTGCTATATCTTCTGTGTTCCCTTCCTGGGGGTGAGTATCGAGTGGGGCTGTGATGTAAGAACTAATTGTTCTTAAGTTGAAGCTATGCTTTAGTGCAAGCCCAAAACCCATTCCTGGATCTATGCTATTTTTTTTTCAATTTGCTGTAACTTGGGAGTTAATACATATGTCATATCATTCCATAGTTCAATCATATCAAACAGAATTGTACAATTGCTTCCATAATCGGTCTCCAAACATATACTTTTCCTTCCTGACTTCTTGACATCATCTCCCTCTTATGACCTCTATAGCCCCCTCCCTCCAAAACCCTTGTTATATTTGCTTTCCCTAGATGCTCAACATCCTTGGCTTTCATTTATTGAAAAACAAGAGAAAGAACACAGCTTTAAGAGGGTGACTAAAAAGTGACACACCTTTGAGATACACCATAATGATCAAGCATATGGTGTCAATTTGAGACTATTAAGAGTGAAGGGGTGGAGTTTAGCCTGTCAATCAGGTTGCAGCTTGATGAACTCATTTGGAGGCGCAACGGAGACAAACAGCTTGCTGGAGGTGGGACACAAAGATTCTCTGATTGGTATTCCTGATGACAAGACACATGGAGCTATGTTAGAGGCCTGGAGCTGGAGGATCCACGTGGAGACCCCTGCCAGCGCTGAGATGCTTACATCGCCACTGGATCCACAAGACTTTTCACCCACTAGCCTGTGATCTTCCTGCATTTGGCATCGTTGCATGTGTTCCATGAGTCTGAAGAGGACTTTATAGATTGGTATCAGACATATGGGCTAATATCAGACTTATGCACTTGATCTGGACTGGGCTGGGATATTTTCTCAAATTCAGTTGCTCTTCAATAGACAAAATTCAAAAGCTCTTTCTTGTACACATATGAGTGTCTCCTTGGATTTGTTTCTCTAGTGTACCCAGCCTAGCACAAAGCATAAGCAAAATATAATAGAATGACTGTCACAGGATTGCTGGACTAATACGTTTCTTAATACAACATATACGGCATTGATCTAGTAAGACCTTGTTTGCCAACCAACAGTACACCGCTCTTCTTCCTCAGACACCATGTATGTTCTAGCTTAAGTCCTCAGGTTACTAGTGTGTCTGAGGTGAGTCCAGTTCACCCAGTGTAGTTCTCTCATGGGATCTCACCAGTGCAGTCTCTGGGGCATGCCACATGCCCTGAAGATTCAAGATTCAGTGCCCCAGCATTCCATGGCACCCGGCCTGGGTTCCCTGGATACCCCCAGACACCCTAGAGCAATTCTGCCCACCCACTGCATGCCACTAATGAGTGACCCTCTCCCCCTAATGTTCACCAAATCATTCTCAGTCTCTCCTCACCCCACGTGGCGGTCAGTTCTCCCTCTTCTCAACAGACTTGCATCTGTCTTTCCCCAGACCTGACCATTCCCCCTCCTTGTTCTCCCGTGCTGCCTCATCCCTCTGACATGGCCACCTCCCTCTCCATGGGACCTCACCCCAGGTCCACGTGGCTGCGCCTCAGCGGACAGAAACCCCCACTCTCCCCTGTCCATTTGATCCCCACTGTTGTGAGGAATCCTCTGGTTAAGAGACCAACACTATCCTTGGCTGCAGCAGATGGCGTGGTTCATTCGCACTGGTCCGCCTCTTTACCAGGCTCTCTGGTCTCCCCCCAGAAGACGGGCTGGCCCGCAACCTTGAGATTCTGCCCGTTCTGCTGTGGCTTCCTGCCTCAGCGGATGCATGCAGGGGTTGTTCTTTTGCACCTGACTAACTTCCCTTAGCATAATGTCTCCTAGATCCCTCCACGAGTTGAGATAGTTCATGGTTTCCTCGTTGTTTTTTAGGGATGTGTAGTATTCCAATCCTAATATAAATTGATGGGTGGAAATGTGGCGGTAGTCGGTGGGAAGTTGTGAGGATCAGATAAATAGGTGGAAGCTTCTAAACGGTAACATACTGTGTAAGTGCACAAAATATTCATGGGACACAGATGCGCAGGTGAATTATTTGGGTAAGAGTGAGAACAGTCTAGATGGAGCGTGGTCACTGACTGTTTAGCCATTGCACCTCTTTCTGTTGGTTTTATAGTGGATAGATCGCTTTGCAGCTCTATCAGTATCAAATCTTACTAGATATGTTTTATAATGTTTTATGTATCCATAGAGAAATAAATGTGTGAAATGCTTGTATAAACCAAATGCAACGTTTAGAAAAGAGCTATTCCACGGTCACCAATAAAAGTACAATAAGTATGATTTTCTGCTGCTGAGTGGACATTTGTTGAGCGAAACATTAAAGCAATCCATTCCTGGTTTATGAGGACAGTTAACTGTGTGATTTTTGAAAAAAATATTAAAAGTGATTAAAATTAAGCATGATTTAAGTATATATAGTCGGTAATGTCTAAACCTTCCACGAACCTTTAATAGTAAGAATATGCCATACAAGTTACCATATATACTCGTGTATAAGCCAAGTTTTCCAGCACATTTTAATTGCAGTTTCTGTGGTAAAATTGGGTGCCTCGGCCGATACTCGGGTTGCCTTGTACTCAAGTATATACGGTATATAAGTGGGGTTTTGATTGTTTCTTTTTTTTCCCTTCACAGTGACTTACCTGAGAGAGAAGAAGGTGAAGGAGAAGAAACTCCAAACTTCAGCCACTGGGGCCCTCCACGGATGTATGTTGATGGGGTCCTGGTTCTGGGTCAGAGAACACAGGCAGCGGATGTCCTCCACTTCCTCGCGCATCAGTCACTCAGTCCTAGTCCAGGGACTGTGGAGATAGATCGCCCATAGGCTGACTTAGAGCCTTGTTTCATTTTGTGTTATTTAGAGATTTTTGTCCTGGCTAAGACAAAATAAGCAGTATTAGGAAAATGTTTATCACACACTTTCAGAGAATAATTTGTTTATAAGCAATTTAGAATGTCCATTTATGGTTGTAACTGATATACAACATATAGTTTATTACTGCCTCATTAAGCAAGATAGGTAGGGCAGACTTGACAGTAGTTAGTAAGTAAATAAATCTATATATTGCTTAATGATGCAGTCATGTACTTATCCAGTAGTTGAAGTTGGTTTCCATCTGCTGTCAGTTTATCTCTACCCTCCTCCCTTTGTGTTAGCCCAAGTTGGTGCCTTGCTTGCATTGACAGAATGCTTGGGACCAGCTTTTCCGTGGTGAATGTATTAGTTCTAATTACTCAGCATGGCTGTGCTTAATCAAAACTTAGAAGTCTTCCTCTCTGCTGCTCTCTTGCTTGTCTGAGTCCTGAGGCACACGGCTGCGGTTCACCTGCAGACCTGTACTGGAACTTAAGGGTCAGAGTCCTGTGGTTGCCTAAATTGTTCAGGAGTCAACTATATAAAATATATTTAGAAAACATGTCTAACATGAATATACTTCAAATTGAATAATTATAGTGACTGTCCAAGTCAAATTAACTTGATTGTGAATGAACGTTTTTCTGTCTTTTTAGTGTTGAGATTTTCAGAGAACCCAGCGTTTCCCTGGGAATCAGTATTGTTGGTGGACAAACGGTTATAAAGCGTCTCAAGAATGGTGAAGAGCTTAAGGGTATATTTATCAAACAAGTTTTAGAAGACAGCCCAGCGGGAAAAGCTAACGCTCTGAAAACCGGCGATAAAATACTCGAGGTAAGTGATGTTGACATACTGTTTCTCTTTGCTACGCACAGTGAGATATAGTCAAATCACCTTTTCAGCAGAACTGTTTGCTCCAGTGCACTGGGTGTATGTGAATACAACTGGTCTACTTTAGTTATGTTTCGTACATTAGATATATTCATGTATGTCCTGAATATTTTCTATTGGCATTTCATCAATTCCTGGAGCCCTGTGTTTTGCCAATGCCTTAAGTTTACTTGGGACATTGCTCTTCAATAACTTTGGTTCTTGATGATAGGCTGATCTCTTGAAACGGTTAAATATGGACCATTTCTTTTATTGGCAAGGTGACAGTGTGTATTCATTCCTTCCATCTTCTTTTGGTGCTTCTTACATGGTTCAGTATTTTTCCCATAGAATCCTTCAATGTTATAACCTGAGGCTCAATTTTTTTCCTGTCAGTTCTTAATTAGCTCAAACATAGCAACATTTGGGCAGTGTTTTCTTCTGATGTGCATAGGGTCGCTGTGAGTTAGAATTCACTCAATGATACCAAACAGCAATTTCTCTAACACTGGCATAGGACAATGAAGAAAATTGCCCCCAAACGCTTCCCTTGCAATGTGTACATGATAGTGGGGGGTGATAGAATATAAACAAATAAGCAATCAAGAGATTTTTCAGATCTGGTGGCTCTTGTTGAAAAATAAGACAGGGGAAGAAGGCTCCAGGCAGAGAATTAATCAGTAAATGCCCTGAAAAGGGAGTGAGCATGCTTGGTGGAGTTTAAGGGATAGTTGGGAGTCCAGGGTTACTAGTTCCATCACAATATCTCTTACCATCAAGTTCATTCTGAGTCACAGGGACCCTGTATGATAGGATAGAACTGCCCCATTTGGGCTGTAAATCTTTAAGTCAAGAGAAAACCTCATCTTTCTCCTAACCGGCCTATGATTTAGTAGGCCAACGGGGAAGGAGCTGTTCCACCAGTGGCTACTAGAGTGTAGAGTAAACCAAGGAGAGGGATGGTGAAATAAGAAGTCTGATTAATCATGGGGAGTCATGCAGAGGAAACATGCGAAGTGTGGTAGGCCATGGTTGAACTCTGGGAAGCCATTAGAGAATTTTGACAGTTCCTCACATATATATTCATTTGTTTTTAAAAAGGATTATTCGTATTTCTAGTCTAAGAGTAATCCGTATTGAAGGCTGCAATCCTTGATCTTCAACAGCAAGTATTTCAAGTCCTCCTCACATTAGCAAGCAAGGTTGTCACCTGCATATCTCTGGCTGTAAGCAAGCCTGCCTTCAATCCTGATGTCAGGTTCTTCTTCAGATAATCCAGCTTCTCTGATTGCAGCCTTCAGTTGGGTTATAACTCAATGTAAAGGAGATAAAAATGCTCACACCTGGACCAGTAGTTTACATCATGATAAACAGATAAGATTGAAGGTGCCCAGGATTTTATCTTGCTTGGATCCACAGTCAGTGCTTATGGAAGCAGCAGTCAAGAGATCAAATGATGCACCGCATTGAGCAAATCTGCTGCACAGACCTCTTTTAAGTGTTGGGAAGCAAAGACTGTGAGGACTGAGGTACGTCTGATCAGACCAGGGTATTTTCATTCACCTCATGCATGCAACAATTGGACATTGAGTAAGGAAGGCCGAAGAAAAATTGATACATTTTGAAGTGTGTGTGTGTGTGTGTGTGTTTGTGTGTGTGTGTGTGTGTGTGTGTGTCTGTGTCCACATAAATCTAGTCACAGCGAATTTTTTCGTGAAAGCAGTTTTGCTTGGACCTCCGTTTTTGTGATGGCTGATTTAAGAGATCAGCTTGCCATGGTGAAGCTTTGTTTCCTGCTCAGGAAAAATGCTGCAGAAACTGTTGTGCTGGTGGACACAGCTTACAAGGATAGTGCTATGGGAAAAACACGTGTATGAGTGGTTTCCTCATTCCAAAAAGGTGAAATGTTGAACAATGACAGACCTCATTCTGGACGCCCATCAGCTTCCCAATTGGATGAAAATGTTGTGCTCGGAGACCTACGATGGACCATTGGAGAGATGGGGAAGTTGTCTGGACTATCTTGGAGCTGGGTTCCGTGATGCTGCGGTTTCTTGAGCAGGGAGAATGAACATGGAACACGAATAGACACACAGAGACAATACAGGACTGCAGCGCAAAATAGACACAGACAGAGATGGTACAAACTGCCAGCAGCCTCCACAGCCCGCAGTGCTTTATTTTTATGTACGAAATACTGGCAGTGTTCCCAGATAAGTTTGCTATTCCCACACTTGAATTTCTCATAGCCTTGAGAGTGAGTTCCGTGTCTCAGCCCATACCACTTGTTTACATTTCTACCAGGGAAACACTGTTTGCAGCTGCCCCCTCGAACTCCTTATTGTTTGCAGTAAGGAAGTTGTTTATGAGAACCAGCCGGGACAGACATTGCGTACTGTCCTAGACAGATACATGACACGAGAAACAGTGCTCCTCTTCATGGCTCCTTCAGTCCAGCGTATTTTAATTTGGGAATGAGAAGGGTCGCTGTGAAACCTGTGCCTCAGGTTCTGAATGACCAGGAAAAGTGCATCAACTGGAAACAAGCGTGCTTTGAAAGAACAGCTCAAAGGGACCCAGCCCTTTTTCCCCCAAGGTCATCACTGGTGATGAGACATGGTGCTATTTTTACGACCCCAAAAGCAAACAATCAAGCCAGTGGAAGACACCATCATCACCTCATCCAAGTGAAATCACCTCATCAAGTGCAATCAAAGATGAAGACAGTGCTCATTTGTTTCTTTGATGAGAGGGGGATAGTGCATTTGGAGTTCGTTCCACCAGGTCAGACTGTTAATGAAGCTTTCTATTTAGAGGTTCTGAAAAGATTGTGTAACAGCATGTGCAAAACAGGCCTGACTTGTGGCAGACGGGGGACTGGTTTTGCCACCACGACAATGCACCTGCTCAGGCAGTCATCTCAGTGTGCCAGGACTTGGCTAAAAACAGCATGTCTCTCTTGCCCCCCACACCTTACTCACTTGGCTTCACTCCGTGTGACTGCATTTTGACTGCAAGAATAAAGAGGGACATGGAAGGGCAGCGATTTGATGACACAGAAGAGGTGAAGAAAAGAACGATGGAGGAGCTATCAGCCACCCAAACACATGAGTCTGAAAAATGTTTCCACGAACAGAATCGCAGATAAGACAAATGTACTAAGTGTAGTGGAGAGTACTTTGAAGGTGATAAGGTTATTTTGTAACCCAAAATTTAAGTACATAGTTTTGAAAAAATTTCCAGTTTTTTTGGGGGGGGTAGCCCTTGTATACTTTTGTTTAAGTACTGAGAGCTTCATATGATCTTTTGGGGGTTCTTAAAATTGGGGGGTTCTGTTTTCTTTATACTTGAGCCATTTGTAGTGCTTTATAATTTAACTGTTTATTTCTTGTATTATATATTTATCTGTATATGATTCAACAGTTCATTTCTTGTTACATATCTATCTTTATAAATAAATATATTAAATTATCAGCAATTTGGTTTTATCTCTCTAGAGAACTCTGTCTAACACACTTGCCTTTTTATTTAAACTCTCTTATTAATATGAACGTGACAAAGCTGCTCTTTTTGGATAGTGTTTACATGCTAAGTTATTATTTTGTTTTGATTTTATTTGACTAGTGTTATTTTGTAAGCAAAATATACGATTTATTTTCATCTAGTAAGTCTTAGTCATTGGATGCTTATGATTCCTGATATATTTTAATTTAATTTTTTTAATTATTATTTTTGTCCTTTTCTTACCTTTTTATTTTGAAAAAAATCATACATCCACAAGAAGTTCCAAGTAAATGTTCAGATGATATGTGTAGTTTCTTTCCCTCAGCCTCCTCCAGTGTTAATAACTTACATAACTAGGATACTAGCAAAACCGAAACAACGAATAAACCTGAACTCTGATTTCGTAAGCTATACATGCTCCCGTGTGTGTGCGCCCACACAGGTCTAATACATGCTCTCGTGTGTATGTACACATAAAACTATACATGCTCTTGTGTATGTGTACCCATATAGATCTATATGTACTCTCGTGTGTGTATATCCACACAGATCTATACATGCTCTCATATGTGTATGTCCACACAGATCTATATGTGCTCTCATGGCATATACCCACATAGATCTATACATGCTCTCATGTATGTGCGTCTACACAGATCTGTACATGCTCTCATGGCACGTACCCACACAGATCTATACATGCTCTTGTGTGTATCCACACAGATCTAAATGTGCTCTCGTGGCATGTACCTACACAGATGTATACATGCTCTCGTTTGTGTATGTCCACATAGATGTATACATGCTCTCTCGTGTGTGCCCATACAGATTAATACATGCTCTCGTGTGTGTGCCCACACAGATCTATATGTGCTCTTGTGTGTGTATGTCTACACAGATCTATACATGCTCTCATGTGCGTGTACCACATAGATCTATACATGCTCTCGTGTGTGTATGTACACAGACCTATACATGCTCTCATGTGTATGTGCCCACACAGATCTATACATGTTCTCTTTTATGTGTGTGTGCCCATATAGATCGATACATGCTCTCTTGTGTGTATTTGCCCACACAGGTGTGTACATGCTCTTGTGTTTGCATGTCCGCGTGCCCTCACAGAATATATGTTCTTTTATGGATATGTGCTCACACAGATCTATACATGCTTTATTTTGTGTGTGTGTGCCCACACAGATCTATACATGCTCTCATGTGTGTGTACCACACAGATCTATACATGCTCTCCTATGTGTTTATTTGCCTGCACAGGTGTATCCATGCTCTTGTGTGGGTGTGTCTGTGTGCCCACACAGATCTGTGCAGTTTCCCCATGAACAGGATTGCCTAGCCACCACCGCATACCACAATAATTATGTAATAGTTTCCACAGAAATGAAATCATGCAGCATGTATCTTCTTGAGATTGACAGTCAACATTAATTTCCCTGAAGTTCTTCATTGTGCTGTGTTTCAAAAATGTGTTCCTTTTTATTGCTGAGAATTGGCCCATGGTATGGAGGCACTGCACTTTGTACCATCACTCTCCCTTGGCAGGACTTCACGTAATGTTCAGTTCTTGGCTATGATGAATAATGCAGCTGTGAACGTCTCAGATTCTGTATGAAAGTCGATTGGTTTCCTGAATATATGACTAACTGTGCAATTGCTGGGTCATATTTTGACTGCCATGTTGTTTTTCTGAGTGGTGGCACCATTGTAAATTCTCTCTGGCAACGTCAGTGCTCCATGCTCTCCACAGCCTTGCCCACATTTGTGGTGCCACTTTATTTTATTTTAGCCATTCCACTTGGTAGTATTTTCTCTATTCCGAAGTGAGTGTGTCCGTGTGTGAGTATATCTCATTTTAGTTTTAATCGGCTTTGCTTTAATTCTTTAATAATCAACTATTTCAAAACTCCAAACCTGTCAAGGGCCTTTATTTATTGCAGGGGTCCTCAAACTGTCGCTCAGACCTGTTGGAGGGCCAGACTATAGTTAAAAAAAAAAACTATCAACAAATTCCTATGCACACTGCACATATCTTATTTTGAAGTAAAAAAACAAATGGGGCAAAAACACCTGGCGGGCCGGATAAATGTCCTCGGTGGGCCGCATGTGGCCCACACGTCGTAGTTTGAGGACGCCTGGTTTATTGTCCTGTGAAGGGAAAACCGAAACCCAAAACAACCCAACCTCAGTGCCATAAAGTTGATTCCTACTCCTGATAGTGTAGAACTGCCCCTGTGGGTTTGCGAAGCTGTAAATTCTTACGGGAACAGAAATCCTCTTTCTCCCACAGAGAAGCCGGTGAGTTTGAAATCCCATCTTTGTGGTTAGCAGCCCAGCAAGAGAGAGCGTCCTTGCTTCTTCTACCTGCCAACTCTTCTTTCTAGATATATTTTCTTAGCAAGTGATCTCTCTCCACCAGCAGCAAATGAACTATTTATTTGTGTGTCTTTCTCTGGTCATCTCTCTATCGTGTGCAGCAGAAACCATGCCCTCCTGGCAGCCTAACAGTATTGCTCTTGATGTTGTTCCTTCTTGCTCCTTCAGCCATTTCCCCACCCTCTAGCATTGGTGCATGCTGTCAACGCTTCCACCTTCAAAACAAAATCGTCCTTGGATCCCATTGCCATCCCCATACATATACTTATTTCCCCCTTTCCTTCTTCCCATTACAACAAAGCCGTATCCACAGGCTTTCCTATCCATGGAGCATGCACTTCCACACCCTTTACTCAGGCTTTGTTACCATATGGGTTTGAAAGCCAGGCTCTGTGGACTGTTTTGTAAACGCTGCATGCTCTCGGAGATGGGTAGGGATGCTCACAAGTTTGGTTCTCTGAGATTTCTATAATGAGGAGTCAGTTTATCCTTACCCAGAACACTTTGAGTATAAAGTAACCTATTACTGTCTTGCAGCTTCTCTTTCTGAACAGTTTGAGAAATACTTAGCTACTAAGCGGTGGTGATAATGGGCACTCTGCTTTACATATCACGCTTCTCAGCTTAATTGAGAAAAGATAGCAATCTAGAGAAGTTCCCCCACCTCCATTCAGAATTATAGGCTTTACTAGGGGCAGACGTGACCTTGGGAGCGCAGACGCCCAACTTCCGTTACTGACTGAGCTACTTACTTGGGGTAATTATGTTAAATTAGGGCTATTGGGACTGCATGCATTTATTTCACTTCTGAAAGCGAGACATTATTTTCCCCAAACACACTCGACTACAACAGCAAACTTCTTTGTGTGTCCATTTTGTGGGAGGCGGTCGCAGGGGTGGTCTAACTCACTAGAATTTGACTGCTGTTACACTAGATAACGCACAGAAACTCTGAATTAACTTACCTGCCGTATCGAGGGTCTTTCTAATGGAAAGAAATTGTTTCTGCGTTTCAGGTGTCGGGGGTAGATTTGCAGAACGCCTCACACGGCGAAGCAGTGGAGGCCATTAAGAACGCAGGAAACCCAGTGGTGTTTGTGGTCCAGAGCCTGTCACCCACTCCCAGAGTAAGTGATGCTTGGTATCCGCCAAACGCTTGAAGCCATTTTCTCTAAATGGGGGCCAAGCGTTTGCCTCCTTGGTATTCGGCCGCCTGTCCTCATCATTACTGTGATATACGTACTATGACTTTGAAAAGTCGTTAGCTTCGGAAACATTGAAGTGGTGTTCCCTTCATTTCCCCTTCTTGTCCGCCAGGTTTCATTCTTCTGGTGAACTTTGAGTCCACATAGTGTGTGTTGCTTTAAGAGAGAGATTGTAAGGTCAGACAGACCGTTTTTGAATCCTTATTTCTCGAGTTGCTAGCTTTATTAACATCAGGAGGGGCTGGTGTAAAAGTGTAAGCCCTGATGGGGTAGTGGTTCTGGTTTGGCCATAAGGTCAGCAGTTCGAAATCGCGAGTCGCTCTGCAGGAGAAAGATGAGACTTGCTATTCCAGTAAAGAGTTACAGGCATGGAAACCCACAGCGGAGGTTCTACCCTGCTTCCTGGGTTGGTGGAAGTGGGAATTGACCCAGTGGCAGTGAGTTTAGGTGCTATGCAATGTTAAGCATTGGTAGAAATTTAAAATGAGAGAGGAGAGTAGTGATTAATCAATTTTTTTCTGTGATTATTTACACATTTGGTGTGGAATTGGAACTTCTATAATGAGATGCCAATGGCAGGATTATAATAAGCAGCAGAATCTCCACCCTTAAGTTCTGTAACTGGGAGTATTATTTATTTTCCTTCATTGTGTCCTGGAATAGAGCTGTTTCAAACAGGTACTGTACTTCTGAACAGTATAAGCGTTTGGAACATTTAAAAATAACTGTGTTTTAATGCAGTAATGTCCTGGTTTGCAGCCATCTGTATGCCGTGGTAAACAGAATGCCACATTTATGTGGCAAGCTGAGCAAACAGATAACTCTGGTGGCCCATGGGTGGCCGGGGGCAGGGCTGTGCTATTTGTCATTCTTGTAGCCTGTGCAGCCGTACACTTGGGGAACCACTCTATTGAGTGTGCTGCACTTTTGTTGTTGTTCTCGTCCAGTCCATTCCAACTCGTAGTGACCCTGCGTACAACAGAAGGATACGCCACCCGGTGCCACCTGGTGCCGCAGCAACCTCACATCTGTTCCCTTCGAGCCACTGTTGCAGCCGCGGTGTTAGTCCATCCCCTGAGGGTCTTCGTCCTTTGCTCTGATCTGCTTTCTGAGCATGACCAGTCCAGGGACTGGTCTCCTCCTGACCACATGTCCAAAGTACAGGAGACTGCGTCTCGCCATCCTGGCCTCTAAGGAGCGTTCTAGCTGGACTTCTTCCGAGACAGACCAGTCTGTGCTTTGGCCGCCCTGTACTTTCTGTATTCCTTAACAGCCCCACAAGGTGCAAACGCCTGGATTCTTTCCCGTCTTCCTTACCCAGTGTCAACTTGCACATGCACACAAAGCAATGGACGCTATCATGGCGTCCATGTTTCGTATTACGTTTTCACCATCAACACAAACTGAGGGAGGAGAACACAATAAAGCCTTTTCATTTTCATACAATTTGAAATTGAAGAACATCTTTGGACCCCCATCTTTCAAACTTTGCGATATTGAAACTGTAGTTCAGGCCATCACTTTTTTTTTAAAAATAATCATTTTATTAGGGGCTCCTAGAACTCATCACAATCTGTACATATGTCATCTGTGTCCAGCACTTTAGTACATATGTAGAGTTATCATTCTTATGACACCCGCTTTCCACTTGAGCCCCTGGTGTCAGCTCATTTTCCCCCCTCCCTCCCCG